CATAATTGGCTGTTACAGTATCGGAAGCATTCCCAATATAAACAGCATTCAAAATTTTAGCCGCTTGGCTTGCATTTTCGCCTTTTTCAAAGAAAACCTGTAAAATGCGCCGAATTTCCTCTTTTTCACTCCCATTTTTAACGCCCTGCAGCAAACAAAATACAGCAAATTCATTTTTTACTGCGAAATTTCACCCTTCCAACGAGCATAGATTTGAAATTGTTTGATCGATACTTTACGAGAAATCTATTAGTACAGCCATCTGCCGAAAAATCCGGGCAAAACCCCCCAAAAACTGGATATTGGGAGGTACCTTTATATGGGGGCTACCAGAAAATGTAGACCAATATTTATAATTTTCTGTGGGAAAATTTGGTATCCAATAAGAACCCTATGTACCAAATTTCAGCGAATTCGGTTGAAAACCGCGCTCAAGAACCCTAAAATACCGAAAATTGGGGGGTATCCTTATATGGGGGCTACCCGAAAAAATTTGCCTATTTTTGTAATTTTTAGTATAGAGATTTGCTAGTCAATACGAACTCAAAGAACCGAATTTCAGCGAATTCGGTCGAAAAGTGCGATCATACCCCCCAAAATACCGCAAAATTAGGGGTACCCTTATATGGGGGCTATCCGACCCATATGGACCCATATTTATAATTTTTAGTGGAGAGATTTGCTACCCAATAAGAACCCCATGTACCAAATTTCAGCGAATTCGGTTGAAAACCGCGCTCAAGAACTCTAAAATACCGAAAATTGGGGGGTACCCTTATATGGGGGCTATGCCTAAACGTGGACCGTTTATGTATGTAAATAAACCGACTAAGCTAAAACCAAAGCGTAGAAAATAAGTGGAATTTGTTGAAATAAAAAGAAATTATGTGATTTTGTTTTATTTTTTTTATAATACTGTTGCCATGTTTATTTAGATTTTATTTGTTGTTGTTGATTTTTTTAATATTATTTTGCAATTATACTTATAAATTAAAAACAATTAGGACTTAAATTCATGTATGTATGTTGTATTCTTCAATGAGATGATATCAATAATAAACAATACAAAAATTTAAGAATAATATTTAAACATAATAGTTAAGTTTAAATGGAAGTTAAAAACAAATAGGAAAAAATAAACAATTTAAGCATAACACTAACTAAAGAAGGAATTTATGTAATATAAGTATGTATATATATATATATATTTTTTTTTTAGCTGCTGTCAGACATCTTGGTTTCTTTCATTTCTTTTTGCTATACATAAAGACTAAACATTTTTTTTTTTTGTTCTTCTGTTAATTGTATATATATATTATTTTTATTATTATTTAATATTTTGTGTATATCTAAAGAGTAAATTTATTAGGATTTTATAAGCTAACTGATAAAAATTACAAGAAATATATTACAAGGAGGGCGGGGAGTAAGAGAAAGTTTTTAACTTATCTTGTTTTTTTTTTGTTTGTTTGTGAGAAGGATACAAAGGACATTTTTGTTTCTTTTTTTTGTAGGATGAGGATTAGGATATTTGTTTTATTATTTACTATTCATGCTAAATATTTGCAGTTCATGAATAAGTCATAAATATTTAAATGCTTTATTCTTGTTGAAATATTCATGTATTTCTGTTTTAATAATTATTTAATTTATTTTTATTTTTGTATATATATAAAAAATGATAAAAATTTACAGGTGTTTTGTTTTGTGTATTTCTCTTGTATATAAATGTATATGTTTATACGTATAGATGTTGTTGTGTTTTTTGTAGTTTTGTTTAGAGTTGTTTTCTTCTTCTTTTCAGTTTATATATATTTTTTGTTGCTGATGACTGTTTTCTGTTTCCTATAAAGACATTTATCTAATCTGAGGATAAATGTTTGCTTATATATTGTTTTATGTTAATTTATTTGTTCTTAATTTATTCTTCCTTTTTTCATATTTTATAATTACATTTATTGAAGCAACTACTTATTATTTATGTCTAATTTTTTGCATGTTTTTTTTATTTTATATATTTTTTTGTTTGTTTCCTGTTTCATTAACTTTATTATAAATTGTGTGTGTTTTTTAAAAACTACGCCAGTCTCAAAAAGCTCGAGTACCACAAATAAAAGAAACGTTCTGCTATTATAAACGTTTACATTTTTTTTTAATTTTTTGTTCCTATAATTTTAATATTTCAAATTTTTATAAATCGGTTTTAACACCATGTGAAATAAAATTGAATACAAAATAACTGAGTTTTTAGTTGAAAATATATGAAAAAAATAATATATACAACACATTTTATGTAAATATATAATAATTGTGTATAAATAAAAATGGATTTTGAAATCTTTAAAATATTTTAAACTGCTTGTCTGCCCACATCGTCCGCCATGAAATATGTAGGATTAAAAGAGACATCTGGTTTATTTTAATTTCATAATAAGAGTATTTTCGGAGTTTTTAGAGAACCTGGGGCCTTTCATAATTGTTATGGCACTTATGAAATCTAAATGTATTATGCCAGAAACCTTTTTTTTACAGTACTGATATTTTGAAAATTTTTGATATAATAAATTCCCTACCACGTGAGAAATAAGTCAATAAATTAATTGGGCGCCACTTTTTCAACATCTGCAATATAATTTCCATACAAGAAAATTTAATGAGCCACTAGAATAGGGAATACAAATCACATAACAAAATAAATTATTATTGCCATTGGGCGCCATTTTTCAAACAACTGTAATTCGAATTCAGTTTCACTTTAATATAGTGGCAGGCACCCTAATGGGTAATTTATTAATTGACCATAGCAAAATAAAAAAAAATTCTTTAAAGCTCTTCTAATATAAATGGGCACCATATAATCAACTCAGCATTACAAAATTTATGCAAAAAATTATTTTGAAATTTATTTGAATAATAAAAATATCAAGAAATAGAAATTTCTTTAAATCGCTTATGAAGCAATTTGTTTGAAAAAGAAGACTGTCTATATCAGTTGGGCGCCATTTAATCAACTACAATAATCTGAATTTCGTTTATAGCAGGAAATTAAAAGGAATTCCTATCAGAAAATCTAAATTGTTTGCCGCCCTTTTTCCAACTCAACAATCGAAAATTTCTGGAAAAGCTCTATAAGTTATCCAACAGATACGATACTTTTCATTTAAAATATATAGGAATTATTTGGGAAATGGCGCCCAATCCGACGATTATTTATTTTTTTAGAAATTATTTATTATTTATACAAAAGGAAAAATGACTCCGATAGCCCTTCAAAATTTAGAAACGTATTGGATTTAATATTGATATTTTGAAATTGAAAGATAAGCTGACAAGACAATTAAAGCACTGCAAAAAGTTTCCACAAATTTGTTCTTTGTTTCCATTATAGTATGAATTTCATGAATGGCGCCCAACGTGTACTATTTAAAAAACCATCATGTTTTAATTATTTTGAAAATTTATTATGGTACAAAATTTGCTCTTCGATTTTAAGTTTTAAAAACATAATTTTTTTTTTACTTTCCCTTATATATTGATAATAAAATAAACAATGGCGCCCAATATGTGACACAAAAAAGTATTAATCGTATCTTCGACTTATATTTTGTATATATTATCGAAATCCTGTCTTCATAGCTGCCGTTAAAAATGACGCCCAAAATTATTGAAAGGCTAGTAAATTGATCCAATATACCACCAAAAAAATCTATGGACAATGCATAGAGAAGGATTAGAATCATAGACTATATTGACAAATGGTGAACGCGTTATCTTCCGTATACCCTTAGGATATTGATTGAAAATCATTAACGGAGTATCATATTGATTTGCGGTCACATAATATTTATTCTGATGAACTAGATATCATATTTATTTGACCAAATTTTCTCAATCATTTTTTTTTTTTTTTTTTTTTTTTTTTTTTGTACAAGGAAGAGTGCTTCAATATTGTTTTTATAAATATCATGTAGTATCATGTTGACTTAGTTCAACATATGTACAAATGAATCAACCCCTAATATGAGTTCTTCAATAGAATTTAATATAGCTTTATAAGGGTGAAATGAGTATAAAAAGAAATGGCGCCCAACATTTTGTGATGTCAAATCGCTAGTCTATCACATTGGCATTATGAAACTTTGTTTGAGCAGAAATTTTGAAAAAAAAATTGTCAATATCTTATTTTATAAAATTGTGATTCTTTTCATCATCATCAGTTCTTTATTTATAGCAAAAAATTATATTTTACAAAAATCGTGTTTCATATATATATAAATTATTTCATATATTTTTTTATAAACTTAAAAACTCAAATTACTTTGGATTTACTTAATTTGTTAAAAGTAATACAAAATAAAATTAATAAATTTAGTTCCTTATATAGTATATTCATTTTCTTCCTTAAACATTATATCAAGTTTTATATATTGTTTTTATAAATTCTCATCTTATTTACTAAATTCTTTTATTTTTAGGGGGTAAATAAATATCTTAGTTGTATATTTTTATGTTATTATTTATATATAATTTTTGTTTTTTGTTTTTTCATTATAATTAATTATTTTATTCACTACTGTACACATACAAAAATTAAAGAGAGTTTTTTCTCATAATTTTTAGTTTTTTTTTTTTTTTTTTTGGAAATAAAAAATATTTATAAACAATTAATAGATAATTAATGAAAAAAAAGGATATTTGCCATATATGGGCTGCTAAGTGGCTGGTTTTTTATTTGAATTTTTTTCTTTCTAGAAATTATATTCTTACTTAATTTATATCTTTTTTGTCGTGGTTTTATTTCTCTTTGAAAACTTAACTAAAATGTTTTACTTGAGTGGTTTGTTTTTTTTTCTTCTTCCTTTATAATTATTTATATTTATAGTATATAACAGAAATGTTTGTGTGTTTGTGGTTCCTATGCAATTGGTTGTGTTTTTTTAATTATTATTTATTTTTTTATAATTATTTTAATTTATTGTTATATAAATTTAAAATTTAAGCTAACATTTATGATGTAGTGAACAATCGTCTTCAGTCGTTGTCCGCCTAACATCATCATTACTAATCTCTGGTTTTTCCTTGTCTGCCTCACTTAATAATAAATGTTCTTCTTCATCTTCATGTTGTTGTAGGTCATGCCTTAGTAGTTTTTCGGTTTGCCGATTATTTTTATCCATGGGATTTTCGCGAATACTTCTTCTTCTTCGTTTCCGACTATTGGGTACACCGGCTGCTCCACCTGTGGCACCTTTTCTCTTTACAAACTTGATGTTGTAAGGATCTTCAGCTAATTCCGGATATAATGTCACGTCGTGAATGTATTCTCCTTCGTAGTTATTGGCATAATTTTGTTTGAGAATCTCATCGATTTCTTGTTGATTCCATTCAATTTCACTGTTGAGGCCATTACGCAAAGCCTCCTTCTCACGATGCCATGCCTTGCGCACCGCCGTCAATTTGGCATGATGCATCAGACGTTGCTTCTCCTTCTCCACTGTTGTGCCGTAGCGTAAGTTAATTATGGCATGCAGACCATGGATCTTGACATCCAAGTAATTGGTACCACTACCATTTTCTCTTGTTATTTCATGGAATGTGGTATTCACCTGTCCCTGCAATCTCTTTAGCTGCTGGCGATCTTCACTGGCCCGCCACAGTTCTTCTTTCACAAAGAAGAAAGAATCCTGCTGGGCATTGTGTACAACAAAGGTGAAGGGTAGCAATTTCGAACGATTAAATACCGAAGTATAAACATCTCGGTAAATGGCATTTGCGGCAGGAACACTGGATACAATTGCCTGACCGTCAGGAGTACGTGATACCACAATACCCTTACCAAATGGTGGTTCTGTGTCTGAACCAATATTTCTTGGTCCCGGTGTCATTACATCGTATTTCAAGGCAGATCTTGGTGGTGCATTCAACTCCTCAAAGTTCGACATACGTCTGATGTTCAAATGAGCCAAGAATCCACTTTCCACAGCCATGGTGGGCACATTATACATTGGTTTCTTCAAATCCATGGCAATGGGGTTGTGAGGAGCCCGACCCCACAGCGAAGGTTGTTCCCATAATTTACGGCTCAGTTGTGGTACCAAATTCTCCACGTTGTAACCAATCGTTTTCATCCACGCGGTAAACGATGCAGGGTAGTTGCGATCATGACCCACATTAATGGGATCATTGCCGTTGAAACGATACAAATGCATCTTTGTTGGTGTTGGTATACGTTCGGCAACATTTTCCCAATTCGGTGTCATCCATTGACCAATCAGGGGATCATAAACTCTGCCATCGGCCATATGTACCAAGGTGGTAACTTGATCCAGTATACCACCACAAAAATCAATGGGCAAATATAGATAAGGATTTGAATCGTAGACTATGTGGCCGAAAGGCGAACGCATTATCTCCCTTATACCCTCACCATATTGATTGAAAATCATAATCGGTGTACCCGACTGGTCTGTGGCCACATAATATTTATGCCTATAGACTTGAGCATAAATCAAATGACCAATATCATCATAGGTCAAGGACATCAATTTGCCATCGCGTGGTGAATAGATTTGTGAAACTTCAAATGGTCGTTGCTGATTGTTGTAGAAGAATTGGGTTACGTTTCCAAAATTATCCTTGCGTGTTGTTAAACGTTTCATATGATCGTAGTAGTAGCGTACATCAAAACGTCCTCGCTTCGTGGCTCTAACCAACAGACCTTGGGTGTTATAATAGAAACGCTCCTCGCGGGCATTTTGGGCCACCAAACCACGTGAATCATACTTGTATTGTCCTTCGCCAAACTTCACAATACGATCTTGATTGTTGTATTCCATGGGTATGGTATTACCACGATAGGTCAGCGACAACAGATTACCATTATCATCATAACGGAAACCCCATGGTTCTTGGGCTTCAACCCCCACCAATTGTCCATCACAATCCCAGGTGTAATTTTTCACATTAGTATAGGTATTTACCGCCATGTTGCGTGTATAGGTCCTTGTTTGTGTAATACGGCCATGAACGCCAAATGAATATTCCATACGGAAAACTTCCAAGCGATGTATGGACAAGGCCACCTTTTGAACCATAAAACGACCATCCACGGTGCGCGTAAAACTGGCTGTTCCATCGTAGACTTGTGTTTGATTCAACAATGGATGCATCAATTTAAATTGTCCAATCATACTGGGTTGGCCGGTACGTTGATCATAGGCGAAATTTTGTGCTGGTAAATTCTGTCCACCAATACGGCCTTGTATGGAGATTACACGGAAATCGGTGTCATATTCATAAGTGAATTTGGCATTACTCAAACCCGTCTTGGCAACAAAATCAATTCTCTCCTCGGTGAGTAGACCTCCGGTGTATTCGAAGTCCCAACGATATTCCAATTCACGTTCGGTGTGTGATACCGTACTAGGCATGGCAGTGGCATCATTGTATATAAATTCACTCTTGCCTTCTCCGTGGACAATTTCGGTCAACTGACCAGCCGCATTATAGCGATAGAGGATCCTTGCACCATCTCCGGGGAATATGGTTTGCAATAATGCTCCCGAATGGCTGAAGTGTTGCAAATATGGTTTCGTGCTACCAGGAGCTGTGTAAGTACTTCTAATAAAACCAATTGAAGTTTGCATGCTAAATGAGTGTTTTGTGCCTGACGGTAATACCACATGTCGTAGACCTCCAGATTCATCGTATTGGAGAACAAATTTACGCTGCGATGCCAAACCAATTTCCGACAACAAATTCCAATCATTGTAGATAAATGAGATAATACCATCCTGCTGTGAGGTAATCTCCGAAAGCAAACCATGTCGATCATACGAGTATTTAATTTCAGCTGGACCCCATGCCCAACCATCAATGCGATTAAAGCGATCATAGGTCAAATTGACGGGATAACCATTTGTGGGATAATAGGATTTCGGTAAGCCAGACTGATCATAACCCACAATTAGAATGGGTGTACGATTCATATCATAAAATGTTTCACGATTTGTAAACTGATCAAATTCCACACCAATTACACGTGATTGATTCACCCATATTTCACGATTCAGGGTCTGTTGAGGATTGCGTACATCACCAACCAAATTGTAGACGGAATACATGTTGTTTGTCAGTCCTTCGCCCATGGTAACACTTTGATGAGACCACATTGCCAGCATTTCAGCTTCTACGGGCAGAGCGGCTTCCAATAGGGGATGACGAGCCACAGCCGAAGATTCGACCACCACACCATTTGAACTGTGTATAACCAAAGTGTTGTTGGGTTTAATTTCAGCATCAGCATTCTCTTGGCCCTTCTTCATGAACGTGGAACGAACACCGCCCAAGACCAGCAACTCATTGGTGTCACCTTTCTCGCGTGAGAACAACGATTCCACCGAGGCATGCACATACACAGTCAAACCTTTATTATCCGCCAATTGCGAAGTGATGCGAACAATTTCACCACTTGGTAAAATCATACCCGTAACACGTCCAAATTCATCATATTGATAGATGTACGTTTCGCCGCCCGACGAACGTGAATTCAGCAGTCCCGTATTACTATCATAATCCAGTTCTATCTCCTGCCTACCCTTTTCCGTTAGTTTTGTCATTATACCGATGCCATTGATTTGTATATCGGACTTGTGGTCCTGGGTATTTTCAATAGAGCTCACAACATTACTGTAGTCGCGCAAGAATTGAATTTTATTGCCCGATGCATCAGTAACGGTAGATAAACGGCCGAAGGAGGTATTCTTCGAATACAAGAAACTGTAACGGGTCTTGCCGGAGGTTAAATCCTTTGTCGCAACATGTTGACCATAACGATTGAAGACATATACTTCGCTGGATGGTGGATAGGGTATGTGGAATTCGCCGTTTTCATCGTGCGAGGGTAGATAGTGTTCCAGGGCCAGGACATGCAAGGAACCTGAAATGAAATGTGTTGAAGAAGAATGGAGAGGGAAGATTAGAAAATGGCTAAAAAAGTGAAAATTAAAACGCCTAAAAGTATGCGGCAGATATGTGTTTAATTTAATTTTAGTTATTTAATGATTTTCCTAAAAGTATGTTAAAACCAAATTATGAAATTTAAAAAACACATTTCATTTTGTAATATTGAAAGAAAATTAAAATTGTATCCTAAATGTATGCAATATATATATCGTATGTTATATACATTAAAACAAAATAAAATTCCTAAAAGTATGCAACATATTCAAATTAAAGTATTTTATGTTTATTTTGCTTTTTTCTAAGTTTTTATTTGATGTAGATCAAAGTGTAGGAATATAAATTTATGAGGAGGAAATTTTATAATTTTTTTTGATAGACAAAAGATAATTAAAATGATATAACCCTTTTCATAATATCTGCTTTTAGAATTCTCTTTTTCATTTCATAAACAATTTCAAATAGTTGTCGCTTTAAGGCTTCCCATTTGTCGACTATCACAAAAAAATCTAATTCCATTCATTTCCTTTGCAGTCTTTACCAAACAATTTTCCTACTCAGCAGATTTCCTTTTGAGATTTTATTTTTCCCCATCCCTCTACTTTTATTAAGGAACCCAAATACATTTTTTTATTTTGCAGAAAAATAACCAACCGAAAAAATAAAACACTGCTTTTAATAGTAGTTTGGTTTCCTAATCGTTGCTTGCTGCAGTGGTATCTGCAGCAGCAGGATTTTCCTTAAGAACTACTAACACACAAACTTAAGGACGCTTTTCCAACCAAGTCGCCTCTATTCGTTTATGCATTACAGTCTTTTATTTTAAGTAGGCTTAAAGTTTAAATCTTCCCTCCAAAGATTTTGTCTATGACGAGCTGCCCATCACCGGCCGGCTGGGCTTGCAAGAAAGCCATAAAGATATAAGGGGTGATGACAATCCCTACACTTCCTGAACAGATTACGTGGTTAGTTGGTCGCTAAAAACTGCAATGGCCGGTTTGCTTTATGCCAGCATTTCAGCCTTAGGTTCCTTTAAGTAGCTACTTATCTTTTCGTTTTTTTTTTTGCGAATACAATATTCAAAAAGCAAAAGATTTCTGCTAAACTGCTTAAACAATAGTCGTGGATGGAAAGGAGGCAACTATTCCCTTCCATCCTTCTTGGTAGAGAATATTTGTGGTTGACTCATTAAAGAGTCGTATTTAGGATTTTAAGACGTAAACTGGTGGTTGCTATTTGCAAGTAGTTGCAGAAAAAAACTATAAAACTCGGAAAAAGTTTTTGTTTTTGTTTTCTTTTTTTGTGCATAGCCAGGATTTGTAATAAGTTTATGTTAGCCTTACAGCTATTGCAGAACGGGATTAACTAAAGTGCTAATGGCGTAAAAGTATACTTATGTTAAAGGATTATTTTGATGCTAAAATATTATTATTATGTTTAATATGGAGTTTCCCTAAAAGTATGCTTTCAGAAAAATAAATTTGTATATATTTTTAGATATTTGTATATATATTTTAGACATTATTTATTATAATAAATATAATAAAAATTGTATTTATTATATTTATTATTTTTTTCTTTAGAATATTAAATATTTAAGTATAAATTTATAGTATCGCCTAAAAGTATACACTATGAAATAAAAAAGGTTTAACATCCGCCTATATATATAATTTATTAAAAATATAATAATTAATAGAATGATGCCTCTTGGCGAATAGTCATGTTTATACCCTTCACCACACTGTGGTACAGGGTATTATGTCTTTGTGCATATTTTTGTAACAGGCAAAAGAAAACGAGATAGACACATGGTTCCTTTTGATAATATGCATAGAATCACTTTTTAAGTCGATTTATGCATGTCCGTCTGTCCGTCCGTCCATGTATTTTTTTTTAACAAAGTACAGGTTGCATTTGTGATCCTATTTGAATAAAATTTGGCACAGTTCACTTATTTGGCCCAAGGACGAACCCTATTGAAATTGGGAAATCGGTTCAGATTTAGATATATCTCCCATATATATATATAAAGTCCCAAATATATCTTTCGATTTGCACGAAATTTGGCACAGCGTACTGAAATAAGCCTAGAACGATGTGTGTTAAATTTCGTGAACATCGGTTCAGATTTAGATATAGCTCCCATAGTGCACCGAAGTCCCAATATATCCTCGATTTGCACGAAATTCGGCATAGCGTACTAAATTAAGCCTAGAAAGATATGTGTAAAATTTCGTAAAAATCGGTTCTGATTTAGATATAGGTCCCATATATATTTTCGTCCGATTTTAGGTAAATAGTGCACCAAATCACTATATATCTTTCGATTTGCACGAAATTTGGCACAGCGTACTGAAATAAGCCTAGAACGATGTGTGTTAAATTTCGTGAAAATCGGTTCAGATTTAAATATAGCTCCAAATATATTTTCGTCCGATTTAATGTAAATGGTGCACCAAAGTCTGTAAATATCTTTCGATATGCACGAAATTTTGACACAGCGTACTGAATTAACTCTAGAAAGATGTGTGTATAATTTCGTGAAAATCGGTTCAGATTTAGATATAGCTCCCAAATATATTTTCGTCCGATTTTAGGTAAATAGTGCACCAAAGTCCCGATATATCATTCGATTTGCACGAAATTTGGCACGGCGTACTGAATTAAGCCTATAACGATGTGTGTTAAATTTTGTGAAAATCGGTTCAGATTTAGATATAGCTTCCATATATATTTTCGTCCGATTTTAGGTAAACGGTGCACCAAAGTCCCTATATATCTTTGGATTTGCAGAAATTTGGCATAGAGTACTGAATTAGGTCCTGAATGATTTGTGCCAAGTTTCAAGAAAATCGGGTCAGATTTAGATATAGCTCTCAATAATAGTTTCGTCCGATCAGAATGGCATGTGTTGGAATTGATGTTAGTCGGTTTACTTCGCATAATTTAAAAAATCTCATATTTAAGTTCGTTCAATTTCATGCCAATGTTCCTTAGAAAAGGCGACGTCTGTTAGGATACATATGTAGAATATCCCCAATGTGGTGAAGGGTATAAAATAGTCGGCCCAGTCCGACTTCACTACTTTCCTTACTGGTTTACTAATTGCTATGTTTTAATAATTAAAAAGGTATTTGTTTATTTTCTTTTAATTATACCTAATATTAGCTAATATTCCCCCAAATTTGTGTTTTATTTAAATTCTAAACTTTTTGTTAAATTAATAAAATTCATAATTAAATTTTTAATTTTTATAATTTCTCAACAATAATCCCTTAGATATTATATCGAACCCATAAACATTTAGCTAATCCCCAAAAAATCTCCACGCGGAGAAAAACATGAAAACTTGTCTTCATTATAACACCCAACAATATTTATCTAGATTAAATATAATTTACAAACCACATTATACTCTAGATATCACGTCTACTAGGTTTCATGACATTATCTTACACCCCTCTCTCTCTCTCTCCCTCTCCTTCTTTCTAGACCATCTCAAAATATACACAATTTATAAGCAATAGCTGTTTCCTATTCGGCTTTGAATAACAATGAAACAAACAAAACCCCCGTTATCATTAAAACGATTTCTACGTCTTCGTGTCATCGCCATCATCGTCAACATCCTGGGCACATTCTCAACATCTTTAGCTGCTACAACTGATCATCGTCTTCATCATCATCATCAATTTTAACGAATTAATGATGTGTAGCATGAGCATGGCGTTTCTTTAGGGGTAATAATCGCTTTTCACTTCATTTAGTTTCGATAGCTTTAGCTGTTCTCCTAATCCCCACCCATCGACATGTCGCAACGACCACCATCAACATTCGAACGCTTTCAGCATATTTGACTCTCTGTATATTTATTCCGGCCAAATCCTTAACATAACAAAAACAATAACTAGCAGTAGATTTTCTCCCTTTGCTTTCGCATATATGTGTGTAATAAAATAACACCAACAGGAACAACAACAACAAAAAGAAAATTGTATAATACAGTTTTAGTTAGTGGTCATAATGCGATTGTTATTGTTGTACGGAGGAAAACGATGATGAGGTCGCCACGTCAAAGGACAACTATAAGCATTATTATAGAGTTTAAAGTATGGAAACCCACTCACATAATAGTAGAAGATTGTGTTGATAATGTTAAGGTCACTTAACGGGATATTTAATGTAATTAAACTCAACTATTATGTATGATAAAATAAGGATGAGGATAATTGAAAATTTTGCAAAATGGAAAAAGAAAATTGTGAAACTTAGATGGAAAAAATAGGTGGTCGTTTTGAAGTGGAACAAAAAGACTTAATTAAAAAATTTAATGATAAAAAGGAAGAACAAAGGAATATGGCTTTTACATTAAGCGAAATTTTTGGTTTTTGGTTTAAAGTTTTCTGGACCTAAGCAAAGTCCTTAAATATTATGCGCAAGTTTTCTTTATTTTTAAAAATCGTTTCCTAAAATTTTTCAAAAAAAAAAAAATATTTTATTTTTTTAATTAATAGCCTGCACCCTAAAAGTATTCTCTAACTTCTCAAGAATGATGAAATGAATATGTTTTTACATTAAGCGAAATTTATTTTGTTTTTTTTATTAATTTCTCTTTCGAGATGAGCTACATGATCGGAGTTGCATCGGAGTTGAAAAGGAAAACCAGAGAGATACTACATTCCCACCACTATGCGACGCGTTTCGCCGTCGGTTAAGCGGCTCATCAGGCATATTGGGCAAAGCGACTTAAAAATGTCTTTACTTAGGTTAGGTTAGGTTAGGTTGAAAAGAGGGGTGGATGATACCACCACATGTCCAACATGAGAAGGACATACACTTAAGCCATATGAGGCCTGTTGTGCTCTCTAGATGTGCGGAGAAAGTACAAATCAAGAATTAGTGAAAGTTTATAATATAAAGAAAAACATTAGGGTTTGATTCCCTATGAATCAAGGAATTTCGTATTTTTTGCGA